TAAACTGTCATTAAATAAACATTAAACACATAGAGATGGAGCAGATACAGACAGCCAGGAACGATCCCCGAGAAGACTATTTTTTTTAATATGTTTGTATACAAGCGAAGGGCTAAATCTGGATCTGATTTCTTCATGACAGAACCGTTTTCTGCAGCGCCCTGGCGGTGAGGCAGAATCGGCTGTGCTGAGATGCTCTGAGCACACCACGGGGGCTTCTCTCTACCTCCTTCTTTTACTTTTATTCGGAGGGGGAGTGGCCGGAGCACCGAGGACTCAGCATGGAGTTAGAGGACAACTTTTGGGAACTTTCAGTTCTCTTCTCTTACCACATGGGTCCCAGGGATTGAAATCAGGTCGTCACTGAGCTTGGCTGTAATGACCTTTACCCACTGAGCAATCTTCCTGGCCCAGAGATTTCTTTACCTCTATACCGCATGATTTAAAAAAAGAAAAGAAAAAAGAAAAGAAACTTGTTTCACAGTAGTGAACCCAGACACCTTAGGAACACCTTAGGCAGAGGGAGAGAGGGAGGATGCAGTACTGCCTTCTGAGGCTGACTTCTAACAAGCCAAAAGCTGGCTCCCAGAGATAACAAGCCAAGACAAACAATCTTTCCAGAAGGAGATTGAGAATTATGGGCGTGAAGCTGGAAGAAAGGCGGCTCTAGTCACACCTTCCGGACACAGGCTGTAATTAGGAGAAACAAGGACAGAAGTGTTCACACTCACCTGGGCTCCTGTCAAGCCCCTCCCACTCTCTCTCTTTGTCAACACACACACAACACACACACACACACACACACACACCTGTAACATGCTAAAATTGAAAGGATGTAAAACTGCTTCTGTAAAATGGTTGCAGTAGCACCACATAGAATACATCCGGATCAGGACCACTTGATCTGGGACTTGTAGCCTGGCTCCTGTGGCCTTTGCACCCAACAGCGTTGGAGGCTCCAATTCCTCTGAGCTCCTCAGACAAAGAACAATGAAGCCAGGCCTCCATCAACCTGTTGCTGGTAGACTGGCAAGAAACAAAAGAACCATGCCCAGACTTGTGGGGCCTCACTGCTGGGCAGCCCGAGTGTGTACGTTCCCTTCCGGTCCAGGAAAATGGATCCGAATGTAGCCTGCGGTGAAACAAGTGGTAATTATGTTCTAAAACAGCCAACAGTTCTAACCCCCGAGGAACTATCCGCGCCCTTCTCTGAAGCTTTGAGCCTATCACAATACGCAATTTATCCTTACTTTCTCCCAAGACAAATCACACTATTAAATTAAAAGGAGAGACGACTTCTACCAAATTACACACTAATGGCTCTTAACCCATAATTGAAGAATCACTAACAGCAGTTTATAGCCACGGCTAACCATGAGCATTTATTAGGACCTAAGTTTTCAGAACTGAGTAATTATGTAAATATGGCTTTCAGCCATCTTGAAACATCCCACTCTCCTCTGCTTCCTGGAGGACTCACTCTTAGGGATCTGGCCTCTAGCCAGGGCCTTCTCCTCCTCCTTCAACCCCACCCCACACTAAATAGTGGCAGGGAGAGAAAGTTCCAGAAAGCTGGTCACCTACGGCCAGCATCACAACTCTTCCTTGGACATGAAGCAGTTTTGGAAGCGGGACCGGCTGGCATCAGGACAGTGCACTGCAAGCTGGGGTGTGACCCGTCCTGCCCTCCAGCGTGCACAGTCCTGAGGATGTGAGCAGAGATGAGACAGACAGTAACTCTGGAAAGGCAGTATGGGAAGAAGAGGCCGGAGAAGGGTAAGATTCCCTGGCCTGCAGCCTCAGCTCAGTCCTGCAACAAACCCCAAATCCACCTGAACAGAGAGACACCCTGGGCCTCAAATCTCCTTGGCTAAAATAAGGCAGTAGGTATGAGATGATGTCTGAGGCCCTGGTTGTCTCTGTGGTAACAAGTTAATTAGAGAAAGCACAACAGCTAACAATTAAAGACAACATTATACAACAGTGGCCCCCAGCCCAGAGTAAGGCCTGCAGACCTTTTTTTCCCCTGTTGTTGCAAGTTTAGCTTCACCATAAACCACTTCCTGGAGCCCCCAAGGGCCCTGAGCCATGCCATGGGTTTTGTGCCAGTCACCAAAGGAGGAGCCCTGACTTCATGAGGCTTTTGACCATCCAGTGGGGTACGCTCAGCAGTTCAACGGGAAAAGATAAGAGAGGGCTGGCTGGGGTTGGCCTATGCCTTTTTTTATGGAGACAGAGGCAAAAGTGAACTTCCTGTAGGTACAATGGGATCAATCCGATGATCGAGGAAAGATGGAGTGGTTAACTGTTGGGCATGGTGATAGGAGGCCATGAGGCTCCTGGGCCTATTCACGAACACAAGCAAGTCTACTGAGTCCCTTGTCATTAGCGCAGAAACTGGTTCTCAAAAGTTTGACAGATTTTCTGTTTCACCACCTCAGGCTCCCCAGAACACGCATTGGGCTATTTGTTTTCCTTATTGGCCTTTCAATCCTCCTTGGAGGCGACTATGAGGGTGGGCTAGGGATGGGGTTAGCATGCAGGGAGCGGCCTCAGCCATTTAGAACAGGTTTGGGCTATGGGGGGGGGGGGCTAGGGGAGAAGGTAGATTTAGCAGAAAATAATGTGGGTTCCGGCCCAAGACCTCAAGGAGGGAAGGGCAACCCAGGGTGGACACAAGAGTAAGATCCAGGAGTCCTTGTACACAGCATGGTGAGTGGCTGGGCCACCTCAGTGGGAGGTCCTGAGAGAAGGAAGATGGGGAGGACACAGTTTACCTGACACAACGGAGGCTGTGGAAGAGCCAACCTGGACAATCAAAGCTCCCCGCCTGCACCTTCACTTCAAACGCCGGAAGAGCAAACACTGAGTCTGTCTCCTGCTAACAGGCAGGAGGATGGCCGGTGCCCCGGATGAAATCCAATGCCATCTACCCCCATACACTCATGTTCCACAGTATGTTCAGAAGTGTTTGTCATTTAAACTGTACCAACTTTTATTTTGGTTTGTTTGTCTATTTGTTTGAGACAGGGTGTCTCTACATAGCCCTGGCTGTCCTGGAACTCACTTTGTAGATCAGGCTGGCCTCGAACCCACAGAGATCCACCTGCCTCTGCCTCCTCAGTGCTGGAATTAAAGGCGTGCACCACGAGGCTTAGCTGTGTTCTGACTTTTTACAGGAGAGAATCCCATGTATGACTTATACCCGTGGTTCCACGAGGCCCTGGCAGTTGAGGCCAGATGTGTGTGGTGTTTACAGTAAGGAAACGGGAGGACGTAAACAACTGGCTCCGAGCGCCACTCCGGTTTTGCTTCGCTTTTCTTCATTTCCTGTGTATTTATTCTGGTGTTAGAATAATATTACCTTTCATAATAAGGAAAACAGGAGCAGATGTTTAAACTAAACAGACGATAGCCTTATGATCCCACACACCCACTCCCCTCCCAGAATCCAAGTCTGCTCCTCCAAACAGTGAAGGAAACAAGACAGCTGACTGCTGGCGTTTGCACTTTCCACAGAACCGCACTCCCACCTGGGGGAGCTGCCGAACTTCTTCCCAGGACACAAGGAACAAACCACTGCCCCAACAGTCTCTGTGTCCCTCACCCGGGCCAGCCAGGCACTCTGTTTTGGTTTTTAAATATCAGATTACTTGTTGACAAAGAAATCGTATTAAATTTTCAACTTTTGTTGGTGATAGGGTGTGGATTTTTTTTTTTTTTTTAAGGCAACGCATGAATACCAGAAGTGATTTCCGGAGAATCCTGCCTTTGAGATTAGGGGTTTTAGAAGCCCTTTACATGTAGAAGAAACTTGTCAAAGTAAAGTGATATCCTATTTTTAAAATGCAAAACCACAACAAAACCTTTTTAAATGTGAGGTTTTCCCTGTAGAGTTAATTTTCTAAAAAGCTTGGAAAAGAAAGGGCTGTGTTTTCAACAGACCCAGAAACAGAGCTGCAACTTTTACATGAACACAATGGCTTCGCTCCCCCTCTGAAGTCCTGTTCCCAAAAGAGCAAACAACCCACTCAGCTCAGATGGGAGGAGACACACAGCCCCCTGCCCACAGGAAGATGTGCCCTGATTCCTACTTGCTTTTCCCAGGAGAGACTCCCCGACAACAGCAGCTCTCTCCCTGCCTGTCCAGTACCCCAGCTCAACCCCATTACTCTCGCCTCAGATCCCACGTAGGTAAAATTCCAAAAGATGGAATTGAAGTTTTCTCTTCTTCTTCCCCACTCCAGAGCAGCTTAAACTACTGCAGGGAGTGCCCAGGGGAAGGGGAGGCGACGGGCAAGGGGAACCCAGGGGTGGGGGCATTTTCCACCTTCTTCAGCCTTCTAGCTGCTTGTTGTGTAATTGCCCTGGGCCTGGAGGGAGCCTGTCTCCACTGTCAGCTCTCTGTACAGGAAATGGGGCCCCACAGACAAAGAGCCGGCCTGGGCTCCCTGACACCAGGCCCTGCCAGCCCCACAAACTCCACACAAGAAGAAGAAGAAGAAACCTTCGAAGGCTGAGACAATGGCCCAGAAAACAAAAACTTATTGTAGCTTTTTGTTGTTGTTCCTCCACCACACCAAACCCAGAGCAGGAGCACACACAGAGTACTGTACACCATGATATGTTTAAAAATAGTCTCAAAGCCCCTCCCCTCCGCTCTAACACCCACGTTTAACTTTTCCTTGTTTCTCCAAGCTCCTCGCCATACATAAAATGCCAGCAAAACCAAAAGGAAGAATAACTTAAAATGTAACAACCTCGTCAGCTCTTCCTAGAACACTGCGGGCAAACTTTTAACAATGTGTCCCTTCCAGCCCTCCGCTGGTGGCCCCCTCCTGCCAGGCAAACTGTCCTGAAAAAGGTCTACAACCCTCTCTCCCGGCCATTCAACCATCCCAAGAAAGACAAGAAAAGCTTTAGGAGCCCGCCAGGGGCCCCCTCCAAAGGAGGAGTGGCTGTTCCAAATGCAAAAGAGAGGTACATTCTAGAACATCTACCTTCGTAGCACAACACGCCGATGTTGTTGTTCATCTTGTCCAAGTACTGGTAGTTCAACAGGTCCATCTTCATAAACAGCATTTATCTGTCCGGCTGGCAAAGAAAAGCAGTTCTTTGCTTTCACCCCCAAAAAGAAAGTTTCAAAATTCAGTCTTAGCTGAGTAGCTCCAGGCTCTCCTAAAACTTCAGGAAGATAGAGGCCCAGCCTCACAAGATCACAACAAAGAATATATAAAAAGGTGGGTTTTTTTTTTTCTTAAAAAAAAAAAAATCACACACACACACACACACACACACACACACACACACACAAACCAGACTCAAACAAAACCCGTCAAGGGCTTATTGGAAGGCAGTTGTCTGATTGTGTCCTCTATTTGGCTTTAAAAAATCATTTCATAAGTCTTCAAAAGCCTGTCTTGGGGGTTTAAAAAGAAAGCAGTAGAAAAGAAAAACACAAAGCACATTTCTTAGGACAAAGGCACTCTCCCTCACAGCCCGCTGCAAGCTGACTGCACTGACATGCTGGCTATGCTTGGTATGACTCGTATGTAAACCAGCTTCCTCTGCTGGGGGAGGGGGGGAGGGGGCCCGGAGCATGCTCACTGGAGCCTCGGCACAGGCTCAGGGCTCTGGGCGCAAGCAGAGTTAGCAGGAAGCAGAAAGAGGAGGGGACAGTGAGGCAAAGGGGGTGAGGAGTTTTTCCTCACAGTTGCCAAGGGCCGCCAGAAGCCAAGGAAGAAAACCCAGAAAGTTTTTGGGTGTTTGTTTGGGGGTGGGGAGTGGGGAGGGAACAGGCTAAGCACAAAGTTAAAAAAAAAAAAAAAAAATCTGCCGTGGAAGCAAACTGCAAGGACTTTAACTTTCGGTGACTTCTTCCAGGGGCTGGGAACCCAGGGTTTCCATCGGGGCGTGCTCTGGCTAGGTACAAGGTTTCTTTGTAAGACCGCGGTTTTTATTGCGTCCAGGGACACAGTGAGTGTTTACACTTTCAAAGTCAATGTTACTCGTAACTTCCTTCCTAAGCCGTGTAGCAGCACAGATGGACAGGGCACCAGAGACAAAGCTTTCCACAGAAGAAAAAACTGAGGCGCGAGTACACACGAACTAACTAGGTGGCTAGGTGGCTAAGAGCACTCACTGCTTTTGCAGGGTACCGAGTTCAGTACCCAGCTCTCACCTGTAGCTCCAATTCAAGGAAACCTGATGCCCTCTTCTGGCCTCCATGGGCACTGCATGCATACGGTTCACAGCTATAACATGATGGCAGAACATCCATATACATAAAATAAAATTTTAAAGATGTATTTATCGTGTATACAATGTTCTGTTTGCATGTGTGCCTGAACGCCAGAAGAGGGCACCAGATCTCATTATAGATGGTTATGAGCCACCAAGTGGTTGCTGGGAACTGAAATCAGGACCTCTGGAAGAACAGCCAGTGCTCTGAGCCATCTCTCCAGCCCGGTAAAATAATTATTTTGAGTCCAATTGCTTTCCAAAGCCATCTGGGAGGTTGTGACTAATCATGGAAAGTTTCAAAATGTTCCAAGTTCTGAGAAAGAAAAAGAACCTGCCTTAAGTGACTCTTTTGCAGCCTGGCAGTGTGATACAAGCCCATCAGCGACTGAGGCAGAGGGATTGCCACAAGTCTCAACTCAAGGCCTAGCCCAGCTACCATCACACTTCCAAAAAAAGACTTCATTGCATTCACTTATTTTAAGATGAAGATTTTTTTTTTTTTAATTTAAGCACATGATTGAAACAATTCAGATAGAGGGATATGCACAAAACACTTAGCAGCCGCTTTTCCAGGGCTCCATGTTAAATGCAGCAGTCTGTAGAAGGAGACACCAAGCTCAATCCCAGGAAAGCACTAACTCCCCCAAAGGCTGACCTCTGACCTTTATATGCACCATGGCATGCACACACTCACAAATGTTAAATAAATAAATAATAAATAAATGTGTTTGTTATTATTACTATTTTATTTTGAGGACAGGCTGGGAAGATTGCTCTGCCAGTGATGCATCTGCTCCACAAACTTCAGGACTCACATGAAAAGCCAGGTACAATTCACGTGCTATAATCCCAGGCTTGGGGACCAAGGAGAGAGATTACGGGGGGTGGGGGGGGGTGAGGGGGGGGGGTGGGGGGGGTGAGGGGGGAGGGTCACTAAGTCACTAAGCTTACTGCCCAGCAGGCCTGAGCTTCAGGATCACTGCAAAGGCAAAGAGGCACAGAAAATACCTGACGTCATCTTGTGCTGGTTGGTATTGGTGAACATTACATGACCCAGAGTCACCTAGGAAGACGCTGGAGCCTCAACCTAGGAATGGCCTCCATCAAACTGGCCTCCAGGCAAGTCGGGGTGGGGGGCGGTTTTTTGATTAATGATTGATGTGGAAGGGCCCAGCCCACTGTCAGCATTCCCACTCCTAGGGGATGAGGTCTCCTAGGAGCAGGGCCTCCTAGGTTGTATAAGGCAGCAGGCTGAAGCCAGGCATGGTGGTGGTGTAGAGGCAACGGGACTGCTATGAGTTCAAGGCTAGCCCAGTCGACATAGTGAGTTCCATGACAGCCAGAGCAAATAGTCAGACCCTGCCTCAGAAATAGGAGAAGGGGGAGAGAGGGAAGAGGGGGGAAGGAGGAGGAGGAAGATGCAGAGGTGGCAGGCTAAGCAAGTCATGAGGAGCAAGCCAGTACGAACGGTCCTCCATGGCCTCTGCTTCAGCTCCTGCCTCAGGTTCCCTGATCACGGGCTGGGCTGTAAACAGATCTACCCTTCCTTCCCTCACTTGAGTCAGTCTGCAGGGTTTTAGCAAAGCAGAAAGCACACGTGGACATGCCTCCACACATACATACACACGTGCGCCTGCATATACATGTACGCTATCACACACTCATACACACACTATAATGTAAAAACATAACACACCCCTGGGCCAGCATGACGGCTCAGGGAGTGAGCATGTGCCACGCAGGCCTGGCCACCTGAGTTCGATTCCTGGAACCCATGGGGGACAGAGAGAGCTGACTCCTAAAAGTTGTCTTCTTGACCTCCACACATGCATCATACACACACGCGCATACACACACACCTACACAAAGAGGTAATAAATAAACTTTAGAGCATCTCCTGAAGGGGAGCCTCTCCCTCTTCCATGAGCACCACCTGCCTCCTACCCAGCTGGTTCTGTCGTTCAGATCAGCTCCTCGGCACTGAAGCACACAAAGCCTAACACACCCATTCTCAAGCCCACCCACATGAAACGCAGCAGCAGGAGGAGGGGCTGTCTGGTCTGGTTCTCAACGGTGGTGGAGGCAGCACCATCCTCCGGCCTCAGCTTCCCCAGCAGCCCAGCAGCGTGTGCTCCTCACACCCATCTTTTTCTGAGGATCCAACCCTGGTCTTCACAGGCGCTCAGCAAGGGCTCACACACCAGTTCCCACCTTTGGCTCCACGGCTGCTATGGGAGGCTCCAGAATTTGAAATCGAATCAAAGCTGGAGCTGCGGGTGTTGATGGGGTTACCTCACCATCCGAAAGAACACACAGCCGCCCCAGCACCTGCTAAGCTGCGGCCCAGAACAACTGGGAGGGGGGAACTAAACTGAAACATAGTTACCAAATTCTGTGTGTACGTTTAGGCCCTGGCTGTCCTGGAACTCACTATGTAGACCAGGCTAACCTCACACCCACAGAGATCCACCTGCCTCTGCCCCCCAAGGGCAGGAATGAAAAGCACACATCACTGTGCCTGATCAGCCATGCTCAGCTTGAAACGCTTTCACATGTGTCTCCACAATTCTCATCAACCCATGCATAAGGAGTGTTTTCCTTACGCAGTAGTGAAGGTGAGGGAGAAAGGTCTCCATTTTAAAGCTAAAAGGCAAGGCAATATTCCCTGGGGAGACCACATATGTCACTTTTTAAGATTTATTTTTAATTATGTGTACCCATTAGACTGTGGGGCTGTGTGTGGGAGTACAGGGGCAGAGGAGGTTGTTGGGTCCCCTGGGGCTGGAGTTAGACAGTTAGGAGTTGCCCAGGGTGGGAGCTGGGAACTGAACTCGGATCCTCTGTAAGAACCATGCGTGTTATTAACCCCTGTGCCTCTCTTCAGCCCTTATTTCTCTTACTGGTGGTGCTGGTTTTGTTTTTGTTTTAAGACAGGGTCTCACTTTATAGGCAAGGCTGGCTTGAACTCATGATCCTCCTGCCTCAGCATCGCTGATGCCAACCCAACTGCAGTATTTTTTAAGTTTAGTAATGAAAGGCAGTGAAAATTCTATGCATTTAATTAGCCCTTCAAGAGACCAAGATTGAAGATCTGTCTTAAACGGCAAAGTTGTCAGGGAACTCTAAACATTCAGAACTGCAGACATAAATGTCTATGCGGGGGTGTGTGTGCGCATGCGTGCATGTGTGTGTGTGTGTTCTTGCTATTCCCTGACTGTGTCACATACTAGTATCAGTTGGTATCAGAGGACCAAAGTAGACAACTTGTGGAAAAGATGAAAACCAAGCTGCAGCTGCTGTCAGTATGAATCTCACCACAACACACAATAGGTGCTCTACAAATATTGGTTACGGCTCAGCCTCCTGGTGGACCAGAGATGGTGCAATCGCCACAGAAGCAAGCCCAGGCTAACCACTAAATTGCTCTACCTGCCCAAAGGCTGAACTGATGAGTTACACTACATCAGCCAAACGAACGGGATGCCTAGGAAAAGCCAGGGGTCTGATAGCATTTTCCAGATACTCATTAGACCCAACTGTCTCTACTTGAGAGGTCAGAACGGAGTCTGACGAGAATGTCTGTGAAGCCTCTGGGAACAGACACAACCGTCCTGAGCTATCAGCTCCCTAACCCTCAAACTGCTCTCTCTGAAATTTTATGTGGCTAGACATTTAGACAACGGTTTCTGTCTAAAGGTGGTTTCCCCTCACCATTTATGCAATTAAAATCAGCCTAACCTGATATGTGAACAACAAACAAACAAACAAACAAAAAAGACTTTAGCAAATGAAGAAAATGAGCTCGGCCTCAGCAGAACACTTGCATGTGTGAGAATTCCAGCTTCCGGGCTTCTCCAGAATGCCCACATCCACCGTGTAGAGAAGCGCTCCTCAGCAGACTATGAGCAACCCTCTGAGACACTGCACTGGCCAGGGCACTGTCACCCTTGTCCTGTCTCATCACAGTGCCCTTGTGTGAAGGAAACCATGGGGTAGGGGTACCGGTTGGTTTCTGTGGTGCCCAGGATGAAACCAGAGCCTCAACCAAGTCACCCACAGCCACAGCGCTACAAAGCGTTTTAAGTTAAAACCTTGTGCCGGGGGGGGGGGGGGGGGGGGGGTGGGGGGGTTGCGGCACACACCTTTAATTCCAGCACTCAGAGGCAGAGGCGGGTGGAGCTCTGAATCTGAGGACAGCCTGGTCTACAGAGCGAGTTCCAGGATAGCCAGGGCTACACATACAAATCCTGTCTCAAAAAAACAAACCAAACCAAA